CTCTCTCTCTCTCTCTCACACACACACACACACAGAGGCTGGAATTTTGAAAGACTCGGATATATTAACATCAAATCTGCCTCCCTGAACTTTCAAAACCACACCAAGAAGCAGCAGTTGCCATCTCAAGGAGACAAGGACAAAGGCATGGGTTATATTTCCAGAGTTGTACATTTCATCCTTTTAGTGATAGCCATACAGTGTAAAGAAAGTCCAATAAACAAGCTAGAGAAGCAACTATCTATTTTCAAGACAAGGAAATAGTCATACTTGGTAGGAAATTCCCTCACTTTGGAATATATACAGAGTTACAGTTCAGAAGAAATTCAAAAATGAGATGTAGTTATTCTTACAGTGGGAGAGACCCCCCACCTCCCAAAAAAACTGGAAGATGATTGCTTAGGAACAAGACAAAAAAAACAGTCAAAAAAAATAAATAATAAACAGGAATACCATACAAGCAGAAATTTTTAATGAGAAGAGCCTGTCACTGTTCGTCTTTATTAACCTTGATCTCTATGAGTTCCTCAATAGGCTGGCGACATATTGGACACTTGTTGGATTGGAGCCTCAATGCTTTTGCACATTCACTGCACATACACTGGAAATGCAAACACCATTGCTCAGCACAAATGCAGAAGACATTATGAACAGTAAAAGGAGAAAGAGAAAGCAGAACCAGTGGTAGAGGACAGTTTTATGCTGTGCTAGTGGCTTCCATATGTTCCATTAACAATGTCTCCAATACATTACAAATTTGGTAATTTTAAATTTGGAAAATAACAGTAGGAAAAAAATAAAATAAATCCCAAGAATAATAGCCTCCTAACCTCTAGGTCTGATAATCTGTTAGACAAAAAGTTACAATATCTCATTAACAAGTTTCCCTTTAGGCATTTATTTCTGTGCAAAATGGGTACAAAGCAAAGTTTGCCTGTAAAAGGGGCAAAAATATAGCTGACATATTTCAGAGTGAAAACTTTTCTTCACCTTCTATGATGAACAAATGGAACCATGATGGGAAAAAATAAATTTATCAACAAGGCTGTGAAGGAACTTTTTTTCTTCAAAACAAACTGAATGTTTTAACTGATAATAATCAAACCTATTGATCAAAACTGCAAGTGTTTTAATTTGGGAGTAACATATTTCTCTGAATTTAAAGGCATTCCCATTTCCTTCCTTGCCTTTACTTACTAGTGTTCCCTGGATTGATTTTTAAAGAACTCAAATTTGCACTACAAACTTTTAATCAGTTCAAAACAAAAAATAAAGGATAATAAAAAATAGAAGCATATAAGAAGTACCACTCAAGTCACCAAACCAGCCAATGAGTGAAGATAAGATGAGAACACTCCCATTGAGTTAGAGATGAGAACACTACCATGTTTATCATTCATTCATTGACTTGAAGAAGAAAAGTTTACAATTCTTTGTTTCTTTTATTGTCCAAAACTTGGATATGGTAGGATTCTGAAAATGTACTCAATAAGAGGGTTCTCAAGAATTCAGCATTACCACTGACCTATGAACCTTTTTTCCCAAACATCAAACAGAAAATGGTTCAGATAATGCAGTTAGATCACTTTTAGGTCATTGAAAATTTCTGGGCGACTCTTAAAATGGGGATTACATACCTCCCCACATGGAAAATTCATCAATACATAAATGGATTAGATTCCTAGTATGGTTCTGAATGTGTACTCCATAAGAGGGTTCTCAAGAATTCAGCAATTACCACTGGTTTAGTGGTTTATGAACCTTTTCCCCCAAATATGAGCCAGAAAATGGTTCAGACAATGCAGTTAGATCACCTTTAGGTCATGGAAAAGTCCTAGGTGACTCTTAAAATGGGGATTACATCCCTCCCCACATATGGCAAATGCACCAGTAGATAAATGGATTAGATTCTTAGAAGTGAGAAGGATGATTTCTCACCATATGTCGACAAGGTAAAATGGCTGTATCCTTTGGCTCAGTCATGCAAATAACGCACTCTTTTCCTGGATCATTGTCATCAAAGCCCGCTTGTGCTGAGTTGCCAATTCCATAAAGCTCACGCAACTCATAGCGAACCCCATCAACCCACAATATCTGCCTAATCACTCTCACTTGGAAACAGCCCCTATTGTTTTTCTCTAGGACAGCTTGAGTAATCTGTGCATGAGGTGATGTTATCAATGGCAAAGGTTGAGTAAGATGTTCATCTGTATCCTGATGTGGCAAGCATGCTTCAGCAGAGATAACAAGTGGGAATGTGTCTTCATTTGGTGATGGTTTTGCAAGATCATCTAACTCAAAAAAGCCAAGGTCTATGCCAGTTCCTGGAGGTTGACGGAATTTCTGTCCCAGTCCCTTCTGAAACGGCACTCTTACATGCATATGAGCCTCAGGATATAATGCACTAAAACTGCAGTTTGCCCCTTCCTTGGCAAAGTAAAATATGGTGATACTGTCATTGAAAATATAAAACAAAGAGAGCCATCAGATCAGATATGAATTCAATAAATTTGTATTAAGTGTGTAAAGAACTAATTACAAAAGATATTTATCAAAAAAAAAAAAAAACTAATTACAAAAGATGTACATACAATGACCACCCAAATTAACAGGAAAAAACCGGAGTTTGTTTCATACACCTAGTGCTTATTGTGCTTTCAATTTTCATCTTCGAGATCCAGATTCCAAGTAACATACAAACAAGTAAATTTTGTTTGGGGCTTCAAAAAGATGATGGCTAAAAACTAGAAAGAGGAAACACCAGTTTCAAAATTTACCAGATTGCATGCATATTGGAGCAAAATCAAACTCAGGAAAACAAATCATGGTGCAAGGATTGTGACTTCAAGCAATAAACCAAACCATCATACTCTTGGAACCATATTTTTTTCAAGTGCTTACCATAAGTGGAAATAACTAGCAACCAGTGTCTTTGACTTGCCTAGATTATAGGCCTAATGGTCTTTCAATTTTCAACAAAAGTTTTATCATGTACCAAGATACTGCTCATTTACCATAATCTCCATGGTGTTCTTCATCCTATACTAATTAAACAGACTAACTGTTGACCCAAACATCCTGGGTTGGCTGCACAAATCCTATCTAGGGGTGATCATGGGCTGGGCCAGGCAGGCTATGGGCCTACTCCATTAATTAAATTAAATTATAAAATTTAAAGATTTATAATATTTTATATTATTTAAAGTACAATATTATATGCATAAACATGGGCCCGAGAATAAGGCAACAATCTCTCCCTCTTCATTCCTAAATACACCCCCAATACCAGAAGGTCCAGGATTGCCAAAGCTGCTGCCATTAAAGTAGAGCTTTATGAAGCCTTATTCTGGGGGCTTCCAGTCTACAACAGGTTTGTCCTTAACGGAAGAAGAATTTGCAACAGATTCCCAGTTTCTCCGTATGTCATCAAAGGAGAAAAGTGAGAATAAATTCAAAGTTTGGCCCAGCTAATAGCCCTTATTAGCAGACATTCCCAAACAGTATCTACATCCCTTTCTTAATCATTAAAAATTCTGTTATTTCTTTCCTCCCTAACTGTCCATACTAAAGCCCTAACACATCTCCATAAAATTCTACCTCTTCCCTTAGGCCCCCTAAAAGTTGTAGGGTCGAAAAGCCCCTGATTTGCTGAGGCATCATCCACCTACCCCCAAAAATACCAAAAATTTCTCCCAAAGATACACAACAAAAGGGCAAGAAATTAGAAGATGGTAATAGCTCTCTCCATTTGCTTTGCAAAGGAAACACCAGCTTGGGGAGATGCAGAGGTTAGGTCTTTTCTTTTGTAGGGTATCCAATCTGTTTAATTTCCCAAGAGAGGCTTCCCAACAAAGGGCTCCAACTTTAGGGGGAGTTGGCTTAGACCAGACTTCCTTCCAAAAGAAAGGCTGAGGGTTAGGGACTGAGCACAACACAACTGTGAGAAAAAAGACCCAGAGAGTTGGGAGTCCAGATTCTAGCATCAGGTTTAGAAAAGTCCAAACAAACAGTGTCTAGGGATTTGGTTAACAAAGCAGCTTGATCAAGTTCAGAGTCTCTTCGATCTTTTCTAAAACCCAAATTCCAACTAAATCCATAGGACTGGGAGAAAAACAAATCGTTGAATGAGTTCACTTTTATAAAGGAAGAGGTCATAAAAATATGGATAAAGGTCCTTAAGGGTGGAATTACCAATCCAGGTGTCTTCCCAAAAGAGAATCCTATCACCAGTACACACATCATACCTAATAAGGTTGAGGAATTGGGGAAGGATACAATGAACGACCTTCACGGAGAGTTTAGAGTAGCCCGCCGAAACACTCCAGCATCCCAACCATTTTCTGCATAACCATGAATACTTCCCACCACCTTATGCCAAAGACTCTCTTCCTCCCTCCCTCTCTATCTAATGGCCATCTCCAAAGCCATTTACCCAACAAAGCTTCATTCTTCTTCCCTATATTGCCTAACCCTAAACCCCCTTGCTCCTTACTTCTACAAACTAGATCCCATCTCACCAAGTGATCTTTCCTTCCTTCACCAGTCTCCCACAAGAAGTCCCTCATGATCTTCTCTACTTGCAATCCCACTATGCAACTCTTTCCAAAGTTGATCTTCAACTTAGAGACAAATTCAAACAATTTGGTCACCTGCTTCAAATTGCTTGCTTTTTGAGCATCAACACTTTCACAAAAGATAATTGTATCATCAACGAACTGCAAATGTGTAACAACTGTGCTCTCTCTCCCAACCCTCCAACCTTTAAATAATCCCAACCTGTCAGCTCTTACGATATGACTACTGAACACCTCTGCTACCAAGGTAAATAGGAAAGGAGAAAGGGGATCCCCTTGCCTCAAATTAGAGGTGAGCATTATTCGGTTAAAACCGAAAAACCAAACTGAATTTCGGTTTCGGTTTTGGTTTTTAGAATTACAAATTCAGTTAACTGAATAAACCGAACTTTAGTATATAATATGTAATATATAATATATAATATGTAAGATATAATATATAATATGCAACATATAATATATAATATATTATATATTTATATTTTAATATATTAATATATTATATATGTTTTATAATATATAATATATATTGTATGTTATAATATATAATATAGAATATATTATTAAAATTCGGTTTTAACCAAAATAACAAAAAAACAAACCGAAAATTTCGGTTTCGGTTGTTTCGATTTTTCTAAAATTCAGTTTTGGTTTTGGTTTTTATTTTTTTTCAGTTCGGTTTTTAAAATTTTGATTTATTTCGATTTTTAACCAAATGCTCACCCCTACCTCAAATCTCTAGTTGTTGGGAAAAAGTCTCTGACCACTCCATTAACTAGGACCGAATAATGGCATGTCTTCAAACATCCTTCAATCCATCCACACCATCTCTCCCCAAACCCAAGTTTTTTCAAAGTGTCCAAGAGGAATGACCAATCAACCATATCAAAGCTTTCTCCAAGTCCAATTTACACACAAACCCTTTCTTTTCCTTTTTTTTTTAAATCCTCTATGCATTCATTAGCTATCAAAATTTGATTTGTGATCTATCTACCTTGAATGAACGCCCCTTGGGAGTGGCTTATCAAACCAAGAAGGACTTGCTTTAATCTTAAAGACATCACTTTGGCCAAGATTTTATAGATGCTTGTTACCAAGCTAATTGTTTTGAAATCTCTCAATTGATTGGCACCTCCCTTCTTAGGGATTAAGGCTAGGAAAGTTGAATTTATTCCCGGACTAATAAAGTATTCCTTAGCAAACTCCTCAGAGATTGCCCAAAGGTCTGCTTTAATTATCTCCTAACAATCCTAATAAAAGGCCCTAGTAAAACCATACGATTCTGAAGCTTTAGATCTATCCATTGAAAACACAACCCCCCTTATCTCCTCCAAATCGAAATCCCTTTCCAACATTCTTGCCACAATCAGACTCAATCTTGACCAATCCTGTCCTTCCAAAGTAGCACCCACATCCTCTTGTCTTTTAAAAACTGATTTGAAATGAGCCACAAACAATTAGCAATCTCTTCTTAATCAACTAAAGTTTCTCCATTTACTTTTAATTTCTCCACAAAATTAAAAGTATTCCCATTGATGTTCTAACATTGGTTGTTGCCCCTCATACATATCCTTATTTAAGTCTATACATCCATTTTGAGCCCCTTTCTTTTCCAAGAGCCACCATATTATTTTTGTTTTATAGGAAACAGTAACTTTCATTAGAGAATTGAAAAGATTACAGGCTTACCACCCACAAAATGGATGGAAAAAGAAAATCAAAAACTTACAAACAGGCCCAAAACAAAGCCTCCCTAATAACACCTTGCTAAGCTAAAGTGTCAATGATTCCATTTTCTGACCTTCTTACCCATTTAAGATGCACCCCAATCTCCCTTGCTAAGCTAATAATCTCTCTTAGAGGCTGTCTAGGAGACCACACTCCCAGGTTTCCAGCTTGCATCCACCCTATTACCAACTTGGAGTCTCCTTCCACTTCTAATTGTTGCATTTCCCATTGTTTTGCCAGTTTCAAACCTTGAAGTAAGGCCATTACTTCTGCCCTTAATGAATCTCCCACCCCAATTGGACTCGAGTAAAGGGCCAAGACTTTTCCTTACTCGTTTCTGTACACACCCCCAACTCCCGACTGACCTGGATTACCCAAGGAGCTTCCATCAAAGTTTAGCTTCACCCTGAACTGAGGCGGTGGTACCCAACAATCTTGTATCACAGGGGAGGAAGGCGAGGATATAGCTATAGCACTCCAATTTCTAATTAAGTTAGATGAGGAGAAGTCCTTGAAGAGATGATGTACTTTCAGCCAGTGCATAACCTTGATGGTGGCAACTTCCACAAGTGCTTCCTTGGATTTTTCTTACCCTAGGAAGATCCTATTGTTTCTCTCTTCCCAAATTGACCATAGGATGGTTTCTCTTGTTATTCTCCACATTACCTTGCCCCTTTTCCTTGGTTGTCAAAAAAAGCTAGAGTCAAAAAGGTTCAGCACACCCAAGGGGGGGTTCCATCTGTAACCAAACAAAGAAGAGAACCAATTCCACAAATAATAAGCAAAAGGACAAGAAATCAAAAGATGAGTCACTGTCTCACCATTTCTTAAGCAAAGGTAACAGACATGTGGGGAAAGGCTCCAGTCTGGCCTTTTTCTTTGAAGTACATCCATAGTATTGATTTTTTCAAGAGCCACTTCCCAGCAAAAAGCCCTAACCTTTGGCGGCACAAGAGAATACCAAATTTCTTTAGCAAGAAAAGAGAGACACAAAAGAAGACTGAACTAAAGCGTTGAAAAAAGATGAATAAGAGAAAGTCCCTAAAGAGGACTCTTTCCAAATTCTACTATCTAGGCAGGAAAGATCTAGGAAAACTAAATTCAACACAGTGAATAACTCATCTGCAGAAGCCAATTCTGAATCCCTCAA